AAACAATGGAATTAGGGTCTACTAAAAGTGTATTAGTCACATATCTATTTCACGGGTTTAATGACTTCACTTAATGTCGTACATCGCTTATGACTTTTGTGATAACTGAAGAGCTTATCGGAGGATCCCTTTATTTGTGGGTAATGCAATCTGGTTTTTCTTTTCTTAGAAACTGAGTGTGATTCTACTTGCACGTGCAACAAATTGCATGATTAGTGACTAAAAGTCAAAGTAAAACAAAAGAAAAGAGTGGAATTATTTTCTACTAGAGTGCACACCATAATATCCGTGAAAAAGCTAACGAACGAATCAGTACAAACAGCTAGAGGTTTTTCTCTYGCGTGACAAGGAAGCCATGTTATTTGGTGTATCAAACCTTCGGCACAGTTTTTGCATAAAATAAAGTTGAATTCCCTGAAAGTAGAATATGTATCGTTTTGGTAAGAAGGCCGTTACGTCACGTGAAAACGCTCTGTTAGTGTAAAGTTGTGTAGGTCTAAGATTTAATGAGGTCTATTGAACTAGCTAATTTGTGCAAATTTGTGCAATTCCTTATAACAAAGTTAATTTGTCACGGATATATGATATGTACTCTACTATATATTCAATCTTATTTTATTTTATTTAATTTATTCAGCTTAAGTGTAAATAAGTGGTTAGCTTTCTGAATTCTGTGTGAAATAAAGCTACTTCATGCTCCTTTACCAAGATTGAAATACAACGAATGAGGACTCCAAGGTGCCAATAAAGCAAATTATTTATTACAAACATAAATTCATGTTTAAAAAAAGCCAAGACGGCGTGACTGCAGTCATAATTGTGGTCAAGGTTCTAGTTGAATTGAAAGCGTAATAAATTGCCTTTTAAACCAGCAATTGTGTCACACTAAAAGTTTATCTTTGTTTCTCAAAATGATTTATCGTTTAATTACCGCTCAAACGTCATGTTATAGTTTAGTCATACAATAAAGACTACGCCATTGAAAGTTTAATATCCCATTCACACCTAAACGTGTTTAGTTAAACTATGTTTTCATTAGGAAAAAAATTGAGAAACTAGAAACCTACAATATAATGAAACGTTCTAAAATATTGTCAGAGCAAGACAAAGGATAGCTTACATGCATCATTTCACTAAATATTGTGCAGTGCTCATAGATAGTTTTCCAAACCTGTTTAGTTAAACCACTTTAAAGCATGTTTAAGCCTTGGTGTTAATGGGGTATAAGGCTTTTTCTTTTACATGTGTATCTGGTCAACCGTATCTTGAAAAGGATTTCATTGAATATTATTTAGCTTTTCAAATCCGACAACTTTAAAAACATCCTACATTTTTGTAGGTATTTTTCCTTATTTCTTAAGCATTTGCATTTCTTAGTTTTCATGTTTGTCTAGTGTTTTGAAAGCGGAAAAAGAACACACATTTTAAGGCTGGTTCCGTAGTTTTTTGTTGTTGTTTTTTTCTTTTCTTTTTTTAATGCGATTTCACGAAAAAATGCCTTCTTGTATACGTCATCTCTAGCCAATCAGAGCGCAAAGTTATGATGAGTTACAAGATTTATCATTAAGCGGTTCATTTACACAGCTTTATCTAATGGGAGTTCGGGAGTAAGTGCGGTGGTTGATACAATGTCTAGCTAGTACTGACGATAGACGAAGCTTTACTTTAGCCCGTTATACAAGCATTAGTCATTAATAAGTAATAGTCAAATAGACACTTATAAGAAAACAATCCCAAAAAATCTAATGACCACTACTATGTTACTCTAAGTAAGTCCACGGCCTAGACATCATCAAATCTATAAATAAAATCTAATAATTATTTATGAGCAGCTGATATAGATTTTACTTGTTCCGCTGATACACAATGTAACCACGAGACATCAAATCCATAAATATAGTTGTCTTACATAAGTCATATATATGCATGGGCGCGTATAAGTCATTCTGAAGTTGAGAGCAAAACTGGGTCGAGTTGCCATTCCAGTGAATTTTGGAGCTTTTTATTATATATATCATATTATATATCATATATTTATATATTTACATTTTAAAGATAGCGTGTATTTCGTCTCCTAAAACTGCCCCAGAATGCACTGGGAAGCAACTCGACCCAGTCTTTCCTCAACCTCGGAATGGCCAATATCATTCGGACGCCTTTAGAAACACTGAGAACGCGTGAACTAACAAAACATGTGCAACTAACTTGCTTGAGCAGCATAATAGCTCACACAACGGGTCAACACTTTGCTTCAGATATATTGAACATGACATGTTTGGACGCAAACAAATAAAAGATTCCGTCAAATGACAATTAGACCGTGCAAAGCTCTTTTTATGCGCCAATTAACTCAAGTGTTTTTCGCTTTTTTAATTCTATGACTCATTGCTAAGATATCTTGTTGACTTCAGTGATTGTACTACTATCTAGCGAAATCCCGACGCTAGAGTCTTGCAGATAAAGGCGTGTGTAGCGTTTTAGCAAAATTTCGCTTGCATCAAGGCAGCTGAAGACTAGACGTCTTTCGAAGATGAACATCCTTCGTTTCCAAGGCTCAGGCCTGGTTTTCGGATTGATCTGTTTCCTGTGTGTTATGCTTCAAGCTTCTGGGGCCGTGGCTGTCATTCCTACACCTATAGTAAATACAACAGCGGGACCAATAGTTGGAAAAAATGAG